CTTGACCTTGGCGCCGGCCAATCATAGCCGCCGAATTTCTCGCCGACTTTTCCGCCAAGTGTTCAGATTAGGGCCCCTGGACACTTAGCGAAAAAGTCGGCGAGAAATCCGGCGGCTCTGATTGGCCGGCGCCAAAGTTAAGCGCGGAGTTGGCCAATCACGGCCGCCAGATTTCTCGACAACTTTTTCGCCAAATGTCCACACTCTAAAAAATGTCTGCGCGTCTACTTTCACGCACAACACTCGGAGAGCCAATCAGCGCAACTTATGGAGGCAGCTCAGCGAAAGACGATGCGGAAACATATGTTTAGAACAAAAAGCGCAGTCTGATGTTCATGATTGTACTACCCAAAACAAGGCCTACCAAGTTCCTTTGCCCAGTGCCTCCTGGTCAACAGGGGAGGCCTACGCGTTCCGCATCTCTCTCACGGGAAACGCGACCCAGAAAAATGACACCAGAATGTAAATGAGTAATGAACCTGCAGTTTACGAAAAGAACTTGGATGAGTTATAATGATTCACTAAGGCGAACTAGAAGTAGCCCTTCCATACATAAATCCAAAATCTGGTCCCGGTCCCGATGGCATGACATACGCTTTCTTAGCTCACATGGGGGCCGGTCTTAGGATTTAGCTGCTAAAATGTTTTAATCAATCTTGGGCAGATGGAGAAGTACCCGATGCATGAAAACGGGCAAGAAGTGTTCTTTTACTGAAAACAGGAAAGTCGGGACCGCGCCATGTGGCATTTGAAAACCGTGCAGAAAAATCGATGGGAAAGATTATTGATAGTCGCTTAGCATATCTCGAGGAACAATATGTGTGCCCCAAAAGAATGTATGGTATCCCGAGAGGACGGAGTTCAATAGGTTATGTTCTCGACCGTGTTAATTTTGTAGAAGAGGATGAGTGCCATGTAAAATCACGATCGCTGCTTTACTGAACGTGAACGGGGTATTCGATCGTGTCATACACGATGCTATCTTACAAGTGCTACGGGAGGTTGGTTTGGAAAGTGGTTCCTACGCATAGGTAAAAAGTTACCTTTCAAAAGTTGCAATCTTTATGATATCACGAGAGCGTAAATCCGTCGTTCGCTACTTCACTCGAGGTGTTCCTCAGGGAGGCTTCTTAGTCTTAACACTATTTAATATAACACTAATTTGCTGTGATCAATTGCTACTATTCCGCCTTAATTTGTAATTGTTTGCAGATATATCCAGATATAGGCATCCTGTCTACTCGGGTGAAAGCAAAGGCGAGAGTACAAATATATTTCAAGGGGCCTCATAAATACCTTTGCTACCGAGTTCCTGAAATTTGTCACCAAATCATCTGCCATCGCGTTTAGCCTACGTAAAGTGGAGAGATATCCGCTGCGTTTATGGGGCCAAACACTTATCAAAGTAACGGGAAAAATGTTCCTTTGTTTATAAGCAGAGGATAGACATGGTCACATCATATTACGTAGTTCAAAGCAATAAGCTCACAAACTTTGTCGGCCATTTTTTTTTATTAGCGGCACTATGTTGAGCGCGACAGTACCGGCTCTCCTGCGGTTAAATCGGGCTCTATTACTAGGTTTGCTTCGGTAGTGTCTCCCCATTCTTTATGCGATGTTTCAAACAAATCCAAAGAAAATGAAAAGAATAGAAGCACGTGCTCTTCGCATTTAAATTGTCTTGGAATTCTGGTTGGTACTTCGGCCATGGTCACAATTGCAGAGGCTCAAGAAACACGACTAGAATATCTATATATTATAAAATGTGAGAGCCAATTTAAGACTTAGTGCAAAACATGGCAATTCTCTTTTGCCAATAATGACTTAAAAGGACTATAATCAAGTCCCTCAAGAGCTCTGTCCCAAATGGTACCCTCTGTTCCCGATGATCTTGCGTCATCTAAAATTTCAAAAGCGCCACCATGGAGAGTTCCTGAGCCTCATGTCACAGTTGAAAAAGGTAGAAAGAAAAAGCAAACACGCCAATATTTGCGATTATGCAACTTAGTTTATATAACATTGTGTATAATCACGCTTCAACGAGTCATGTTTATACCAATGGATCTACTACTTTCGATAGTTCAACACTGTTGTCTGTTATTGTTTCAAAACATCTCACAACGACCACGTCTAAGCTGTCGGGACAAGAAGCCGCACGGCACGTGGAGAGACGCCGCCGTTAGTGGGAAGAAAAGAAAGAAGAGGAAGACAGAAAGACAAGGCTCGTGGCGGGGCGAAGCGCGAGGCAGAACAAGACCAGGACTCAAGGCGAAAAGTCGAAGACATCGAGCCCACAGAAAAGAGCCGCACCACTGCCAACCTTGGCCCACCTCCGAGGACTCATCGATACATGAGCATCGATTAAACCTTTCTGTGATGATAGCGCTTCCCCGTCTAACCTCCTCGGAGCGAATGGAATTCGGCCTGATCGGGCAATATCGACGGGCGACCCACATGACTGGCGCTTCCAACGTGGGGCCCGATCAGTCTGCCGCTCTTTCTGTTCGCTCCCAGGGAGTTCCACGAATCGCAATAGCTAAATTTAGGATTCCTTTGTTTTTTTACAGGGGTGCTGTTAAGAGCTATATAATTTCCCCATGTCGTGTCTGAGGGCAAACAAATGCCGACACAAAACTTTGGACATTTACTGCCATCTATAAACGACGGCGGCAACCAGACAACGGGCTTGTCGGTTGTCTGGTCGCCGCCGTTATTTATTGATGGTGGCAACTTTTCTAGCCTTTCTACTCTGGCTTGCCGACTTGCGGCAGGCCATTACTTTATTCCCACCATAGTATAGCTTCACTGGTCTCCCTTCTTCAACAGAATGGAAAGGCGGGAAGTTTTCCTATAGAAATTTTGTTACCCCACTGGACGCCAGTGACTTTAATGTTCTGCCGCCATGTACAGGTCTCGGAATAAGGCCACCTCGCCAGAGGCCTCAATCCGGTCAGTGGCAGACATTGACTCGGACATGGGAGAAGGCACGAGTGGGCAAGCGAGCGTTGAGGCAGCGCTAGAGTCCCCAATTCCAGCGGTGAACAAGGAAAACACCAGCGATCTAATGCACGCCATGACGGCGATGTTCGCGACGTTTTCTTGACAGATGGGTTTGGCCCCAGGGTGGTGAATCCCGTGCCTACGCCCGTGCCCCGCCCACGGTTGAGTGTGCTGACGCCGGCCTATTCGGGCTGCTCCGACGGAACATCGGTACACGATTTCTGCAGGATATAGACTCGTACACTGCCGGGTCGAGCGCGTCCGGAGTGATGGCCCTGATACGGATTATCCCAATCGCGTTGACGGGCAACGCAGCGCGTTGGAGACGAATGCAGAGGCCGTTCCTTTCGATGGAAAATTTCCGTGCACGGTTCAGGGAGGAATGTCTGCCTCCCGATTATGAGATACGGATCAGAGATGAGCTAGTCATCCGTACTCAACACCCGGACAAGAGCCTGATAAAGTACATCCGCGATCTCCAGAAGCTCTACTCCAGAGCCGAACCTACAGCGTCAGACGCCGAGACGGTAGCTAGGGCGATCCGCCAGTGCCACCTTAGCTTTAAAACCTAGTTGTGCGGACGTGAATTCACTGATCTGGAAACATGGAAACACTTGCCAGAGAGGCGCGCACCATTCACGAGAGCTTGCTCGCAGAGTTGAAGTATCGCCCCCCTGCACGCGCAGAGGAATCTCTGGAGCCGGGTTGCGATTGGACAGGACGAGACGCGGGCGCTTGCGATGACCCACGTATGCCGTACGTGGCCGTTACAGGACACAGGAGTGGCGAAACTGCTGTGCCCCGCGCCTTGGATCCCTTCACTTTTCAACAGAGGCGCAGAGCAGCCAACGTGGGCTTTTCCAGGACGTGGCGAGTGCAACCGTCTTGTGCGTAAAGAGGGGAAAGAGTGTCAAGGTTGTTACATATATTGATTATATATGAAACGTAGTACTTTCCTTTCAACCATTTCCAGTTTGTTTACACTGTGATGCCTCGGTAATATGGACGCCTCTGTTCCTCCCAAATATGTTATAATGTGAGTTGTCCATAATAACAAGCCAAATATGCATGCATTTTCCCAGTTTGCCCTCGAAAAGGGTGTCCATATAGCGGGACATTCATATTAACGCGGTCCGTATTAAGTAGACATGACTGTATCTCTTTGTGTAGGATAGTCCCAAACGGCTGATTCGTACTCGAGTACTGGGCGAAGCAAGGTTTTGTTTATGCAATCAGCTTAGTTGATCTGGTGCAACGCTTTAGATTGGGTTTTAGGTGCCAAAGTTGGCCTTGGACTTAGCGTACAGTTGTATCAACATGAATGCTCCACCATAGGTCCGCTGAAAGTGTTACGCCAAGGCATTTAAAGTTCGAGAGGCTTAGGAGAAAGTTGTTTATTGTTTAGCAAAACGTAAACGGACACTTTTTTCCAGCTATGGTCACACTGACATTTTTGGTTGGGTTAAATGACCTTTGCCAGGCAGAGCACCAGTTTGAGAAATCCTGCAAAGGTTTAGTAAAATAAAGCTTGTCTTCTGATTGTTTTATATCGCGGAACAAGGTACAGTCGACCGAGAACTTTCTTAATTTCGCTTTAACACGGCAACCCAGGTCGTTCATAAAAATAAGACATAAAAGAAGCCCCAGGACAGACCCCTCTATATGGCGACTTTCCGCACGTTCGTGTCTGCTGTCTTAGCTCAATTTATTGTCTCATGTCGCTATATATATCATGATTCCGTTTTCCCATATTTTGAGAACTGATACGCTATCGGAGGCGGCCTTTTCTACTGAAGAAGAAAGAACAGTATAGGCCAATATAGTTCGGCCGTGACAATTCCTCGTATCTGCCTACTGCTTTGGCTGTTCGTATAATGCGGCAACATTATCTACAATACATAACGGCGGGGCGGGAGACAAAAACACCAGGTAAGCGACCTCACGCACCGATAATGTAACGATAAGAGAGCACAGAGCTCTAAAGCGGGTAGGCAAGAAAAAGCTCCTCTTGTCGAAGTTCATTATTCGCACAACCTTCACAGGCAAGCGCCGTCGAGACCGACTCCACTTTTGAATAGCCGCTCCCGCCATTCATCTAGGTCATTTTTCACCGTTAAAGTAAAAAAAGGGTAGAACACCATGTCGACCTTTTCAAAAAACAAGATGAAATCCGCCGTTGAGCTCAGAACGATGCCGCACGAAACCCTGTGCGATGTCTACGTATGTTTCGAAGACATCGGGCTTACAAGCGCCAGGTTACTCTTTTCTTCAACTCGGTCCTTTTCTAGCTCATCCAAATGTTCTCTGTGCACGTCTCTAAAGCACTGGTCGGTCCTGGTGTGTTATGATGACCTAACGTTTCTTTGCGAAGCCACCGAAGTTGGAGGCAAGCTGAAGTCGTACTTGCGTCTGTTGCCTGAAAAGAATCAAACGATGTGGGAGCGGATGACCCCAAAGGTAAGCAACATTCTTTTATACTGAGTACTATAGCTTCGTCGCAGCCAAAGTTGCGCAGGCAAGGGAAAGCATAACCAGTTAATGAGTTTCGTCTGCTTCATAATGTGCATGGCCTCTTGTCAGAGGTGCACAACGTAGCATATATACACGGCATAGCATCGTATAATATTTCAACTCGAAGTTAAAATATTTAAGAATTAAAAAATGAAGAACCGTTTGTGCAGTCACGTCTCATTTCTGAGTCAGTTCACGCCAAACGATCCAGGAATAAATTCAACCCTCAAGGATTCTGTCTAAAAAATTCTAGGTGGTATTGGTGATGTAAAAGTACTCTTTCCAAGATAATTTTGCTATAGCTATTTATTTCATTTAATTTTTTACGAACATTTCGATTTTGCGGCAAACAAACCCCAAAGGGTAAAAAACAATTTTTTTTCGAAAAGCTTTGAAACAAGATTGTGAAATAAACATCGCTTTTAGAAGGTAAGCATATTCTCGTAAATTACTCACTATGTTTTGTCACGTATTTCCGAGTGTTTTGAGGGTTCAGGCAAGTTAAATATTGCCGCGCTCAGGGCCCAGCAAGCAACGCTTGGTCACGGAATTTCAGAAGATTCCCGTTTATTTTTACTCGGGGCGTAATTTTCATCCTTTCGCCATTGTTTCTTGCACTAGAAAGTGCCTGTTCATTCTCGCCCCGAGCCCGCGACGCTCGAAGCTTCTTTGCCGAACATTTCAGGTGCTGACGCACTTTTGACAAGAAGCGGCCGGCCCGCGATCTTGTCGAGCCAGTCTCGCTCTCGCTTGCTGTTTCGTCGTCTAATCGCCGCTTTTCCGCTGCCTCGACGCTTGTTATTTATTTTGCTTGGCAAAGTCCGTCGATTAAACTTTCATTTTCACTTCACTGTTCGTTATCTCGTCACCTTCGTTTTTTTATATTTCTGGTGGAGCTGCGGGTAACGCATATCCCTGCAGCGTACCCCTCCGAGGGCCCGCAGTGGAAGTCCGACACCAAGCCCACGAAGACGCAACGAAGACACAACCAAGACCCGATTAAGTCGCCGCAGCCAAGGGCTACCCCCGGAACTCGGATTTCTGCCAATCAAAACCAAGCAGCCAACGAGGCCGACGATAAGCCACCAATCGTCGCAGACCCTGACCGCCGCCGCCGTCGTTTACCTGCCCATCGCCCCTCGTACGCCGACGCCCTTCCACGGCGAGATCCACGAGAACGTCGACGACTTGATCCAACACCACGACCGCGTGGCACGCCATAACAAATCGACTGCCGAGCAGTATACCCGTGAGCCATATGAAGGTGAACAGCCCTTTTCTTGTTTTTGGCACTCCTGCAAGTTTTAGAACACGTTCTGTTCCAAAAAAGGGCTAGAACGCAAAGTTTAGACCCCAAGCCACCTACCATTTGAGACGTTGAGAGTTAATATAGCTTTAGGGAGCCGTAAAACATGCAATAAACCAGGTAAGGTGTTCACCTTCATATTTCCCGCGGCTGCACCTGCAAAACCTCTACTTTTCGTTGGAGGGTACTGCGAGGCACTGGTTCGAGAACCAAGAGGCTACGGTCAAGTTGTGGGACGCCTGCGTCACCGAGCTGAACCGGGCGTTCATGAATCAGCATCGTAGGCAGCGGGCCGAAGACCTTCTACAGGCGAGGACTCAAGACCCTAACGAAACGGTCACCACTTTCGTTGCAGACATCCTTCGCCTGTGCAGCCGCGCCGACCCGCAAGCCGCTGACCAAAAAAAGTTGCGCTTCCTTATGAGAGGCGTGAAAAGAGAAATCTTCGGCGGACTTATTCGCAACCCCCTGACGACCGTTGAAGAATTTGTTGCCGAAGTGACAAACACCGAGCGGGCGCTAATGGCCCGAATGCGCAACTATCATCAGCTCAACGACGTTTCAACTCTGGCATCGGCCAGCTCCGAGTTCAGCACCAGCGCCGACGAGCTTCGCGAGATAGTCTGCCAAGTCGTACGCGAAAAACTCGAGAAACTACAGCCTGCTGCCGACCCACCGACGTCGCTGTCCATCGCCGAAGTTCTGAGGGAAGAGCTTGAGAGAGCCATCGAACCACGGGATCCTGTCAACCCTGCTCCGCTCCAGCTGCCGACCCTAAGCTTCGCCGCCATGATAGCCAGACCTGAACATTCGCCGTATGTCTGATCTTAGCATTTATGCGTTTCATTTGATTTGTGTTTCTTGCTTAGTGCCTGTAGCCTTTTCGATGATGAGGGCGGGAGATATATGGTGCGATCGACTGCAAGTTTAGATGAAAACATTTTGTTTGTTCATGTGCGATCGAGCTCGTGCCGACGAGTAACTATGTCGTCTTCCTCGGTGCCGAGACTGAACCGATGAAACGCCATAGAGCTGCCCCCCCCCCCCCCCCCCCCCCCCCCTAGAGCCGCCGCCTGTAGCCAGCGGGTGATGGAACGATTCCGTTGCAGTACCAGTTGTGGGTCCAGAGAATAGTTATTGGTGTTTCCGTCTGCCACGAGCAGGGCGACGTGTGCGAGAGCAGGAAAGGCAGCTCTCAAATCCTTGCAGATAGTTGACGCTGAGGTCAGGCAATGATGCAGCGGACAGCGCGAAAATCGACCCAGTCGTGTTGTTTGTCCGGCTCGATCAGCACAGAATGTGCAGCTTCAGACTCTAGGGAAGATGTCGGCTGTGGAGCCGAAGCAATATTATCCCAGAATATGAGGAACCGAGCGGAGAGCGTATGCCTGATGCAGAAGCGATGAGGAGACCCTGGTCAGTTAGCAAGGTGCTATGCTGTGAACAGTGTGGGAATGTCAATTAACGTTCACTTGCCGAGCCGGCTTGGCCAGCGAGGTGGTCGCAGCCAATTTCTCGAACTAGCCGGCAGCAGACAACACGGGGCAGAGGCGATCGAGGAGGTTGCAAATGCGGAGGCCGGGAAAGTGGAAGATGCCGCTGCTGCATTTTTACCCGAAAAGGCATGCCGAGCCCTGGGCTGCGAAGAGTGGTCCCATGGATGGCAGGTGCTCGGAATCGATCATTACACTAATTTGTTGCGTGTTCGATGATGAGGGCAGAAGAGATGATGCGACCATAGTGGCGACCGACTACGAGGTTTACTGAAAACATTCCGTTTATTCTCGTGCCGTCGAGCCTGTTCCGTTGAGTAGCTTTCTCGTCTTCACTGGTGCCGACGCCGAGGCTGAACCTATGGACCGCCACAGTCACATATTTGAATCTTGTCTCATGTACTGATTGTCTTTTTACACGGAAGTCTGCTTTATCTTTTTCTTCCAAATGTTACTGCTCATTCGTAACAATAAATGTAAAATCTCAAACTGCCATATTTAAATTTTCAGTTCATAAAACCATCATAAATTTAATTAAGAGGCTCAATTGAATATAGGCCGTCTTTTTTATATAAATGTTTTTTTTTTTTGACAGAATAAAATTTGGCAGTAATTATAAAGTACAGTCAGAGTGAAAAGAGGCGTGTTCGAGATTGCATAACCTGCTTCCTAATAAAGCTGATTTCTTCTTTTTTTATATATTTACGTTATAGTGCAACGCTTCCATGACTCCTTTATCAGTTGTTCATTTGAAGCAAACTCTAAAAACACATCGTTTTCAGATTCTGAAGAGTTTTAAAGCACAAAAAATAAGGTTTTTTAATTAATATAAAATTTCACATTAGACTAGTACAGTGATGGTACTATTTGTATTCAGCTCGTTCTAAACTTACTTAATTGTTGATAAAGAAGGCCGACATGTTTGTGCTAACATAATCAGTTCGAATATCACACAACTGAAATATTGCGTTACCTCATTTAATATCAGCTGACCAGTCTGGGAAGCATTATGATGTCAATTTAAACAATGAATAGACCCCTTTCGAAAGTCACGTGTTGAATATTAGACGGTCGGAACCACTGCACAATGGCGGAGCGACGGCATCGAGAAACGTGCAAGTCATTCCATAAAATAGCGATCGCTGGAGCGCGGCCAACATTCCGAGCCGACGAGCCAATCAAACAGCGTCAAAAGTGCAACGTAACTGCGATCATCACCTTTTTCTGTGGGTGTGTTTTCTCCAGTGTGCCGTGACGTTGATGTTTTAGTCCGCCATTGTGCAGGGATTTCACAGCTGCTATCAGAGTACCGCATTTCGAAAGGGGTCTATTAGCACTGATTATTATGGCACCTAAAATCTTCGAAGGCGTTCTAACAAGAAAAACAAATTATCATCTCTATTTATAAAATTATTATGTACCCAATACGATTGTTCGTTTGTTTGTTTTCGAGGAAAACTGCAGCAAACGGCAAAATAAAGATAAATTCACATTGTTTATTTCAGTGCTCACTCACCCATAAGCCATGGGCATAGATGCACGTTTCCATTTCAGGTCTTAGCATTAGATGAGCTATAAAATCAAGAAATGTAGAAACCCGTAGTCGCATTAATTTAACTTCTCAAGTTTCATGTTTGCAGGTGCACCTTGGCAAGTATAACCTTCCAAAGGCCCGACTTATGGAAGTCATGGCACTCTTGAATGAGAACGAAGATTACAACCTGTTCACAAACAACTGCAAGCACTGGACGAAGAAACTGCTGAAAGAACTTGGCATAGACTTGGACAATGCGTCCTTCATGAAGACGCCGAATTTCATCGATCGCTGTTTGCACTGGCTAATGGACTTGGAGTCCATCTAGCTCTCCTTCAATTGCACGTTTCTCTGACGACTGGCAAAGATGACGAAAACCAGCCCAACTCCGGTGCGCCACTCAGCGGTTTCATGTCAAGATTACGAGTTGGTCTTAAAGAAAACGTAAACGAAGGACTGATATCGACATCACTCCTTCGGACGCATGTAAATTGTCAAACTACAGTTGTAAGAAATATAAGCGGGAACAGCCCATCGGCCTTGTTGCTGTGACTGCAGAGTCCACAACCGTCATAATCTCAATTTCTCAGAGTTAAAAGACAGAAGCCCAAACTTTAAGTTTCAGCCCTAGTTTAGAGCAGAACGTTAATAATGACAGAAAAGTGCTCCAAATATACGTGAGAGGCTGTTCTCTCTCATATATCTTACGTCTGTTCAGTGGCTGGCGGTAAGAGTTGGAATCTTTGAGCGTCAGCCAGGCAGTAAAAGCCAAGCAGTCCACTTTCTGTCTCAGCTTTAGTCCAGACGTAGCCGACACTACGAGTACGAACTGACGGAATCAGTCAGACAATGCTAGAAGCGCACCATGATGGCTTTTTGTGTGTTTTTGGACGTGTTCTATTATCAATGAATACCATAAACAGGAAAGGGCCAGTGACTTCCGCTTTGGACGCTGTCTGATTCGTCCCATTAGCTCGTAGCGTCGGCTGCGCCTGGATTTAGGCTGAAACGAAGTTTACAAGCAGTAAGCAGCAAAAGCTACATGAAAAGCTGCATGTGTTGCAAAAGAAAGCACTTGGAGCTATGGGAGATGTCCCGTCTGACTTTCATACAGCCAGCGTATTCAAAAAATTTCATGTTATAAATGTCCACACATTGTATGATTACAGGCTCGCCACTAGCCTAAAAGTGGAGCAAATTAGAAATACGAACTTTTTTTTATAAATCTTGCACAAATCTCGAAAGACATTCATAGTTACCCTACCCGCGGAGTTGAATGTTGGGAGGTGGTCACACCGAGAACAAATTATGGCACACAAACGCTGAAATACGTTGTTCTTAAATTATTTAATCTGTTTTTAGCTAAAGGTATTGATTGGGACAAGTTGTTGTTGAGTTAAGTGAGGTCACCCTTTTGTCCCATATAATACACCCCAAAACTTGAAATCGACGTACAGCGCTCTGTAGTCGATCAGACGGCCCCGTATTTTTCGAGGGGCTTGATAACGGTGGGATATAACTTATTAAATTGCTAAAGTATGTATCAAAGACCAAAGAAAAAAAACAAGGAGTGTTTGCAGTAGGGCCCAGAAAACTCCGATAATCTTTTTCGTAGTATATAATGCGTACATTAGCTCTCTTAATAAGTTGCACCATCATGGCTATCAAGCCCCTCAAAAAATTTGGGGCCGCCTGTTCGATTATAAGGCGCTTTACGTCGAATTGAAATTTTTGGGTGTATTATATGACGAAGGGCGTAATAATACACCCTTTCTTCTGAGGGTGTAAAGTGTTGTGATTAACATGTTGTGATGGCGATCATTTTCTGTACATTTGTGTTTCTCTTTTGATTGCTGTATTATTTCCCCACTCTGTCGCTGCTGCTGTAGGCGGTCAGGAACCCGCGTCAAGCTGTACCGCAGAGCTTTTTTTCCTGATCGCCACCATCATCTTATGGTGGAAATAAACACTATTATTAATATTATTATTAAGTGAAACGTAAGAGCTCGGACTCTAAACTCGTCAAATACAAAGCAGAGGTCGAAGCTCACGGCGCGCGCCAATTGGCCTATCGCGACAATGACGCAGCGCTTTTGTCGCCGAAGGCCAATCGAACCGCTTCGCAAACTTTCGGCTCCAACTTTGTGTTTGGCGAGTTTAAAGCCCCTGTAGTGGCTGTCTGTAAATTTGTCGACGCGCAACCCAGCACCTCCCAGACAGCAGCAAAGCCTGCGTTTTATGTCGCATGACGTCACGTCCGGGAAGCCGGAACGGGCGCTCATTGGATGCGAGTGCCGCGTCAGCGTTGTCGTGGGACTATGATAGGAAGCGAGTCCCCACGCGAACGCTTACGCGGCACTCGCATCCAATAGACCTATTGCTATATTACCCAAGCATCAAGGAGAATGCAGGAATTGGTGTTCCACGCGCCGCACGTGCTGGCCTCAGCAGCAGTAACTTTTCTAAAGCAAATCCCTAAAACAAATGGCATCTTGCACGCGTGTTTGTTAACACTTTATTCTGGGCATTTACTTCGAACCTTTTATACGGGGAAGGCGTGCGCGTGTGTCGCGTGGAACATCAATCCCTACATTCCCCTTCATGCTTGGGTAATATAGCGAATGGTCTATCAGCGCCCCCGCCGGCCTCCCGGACGTGATGTCATGTGACGTAACGCGCAAGCTTTACTGTCTACGCGGTGTTCTACAACCCCGACGATCAAAACCTGCACACCCTCCGCCGCAATAGTGTGCGCGTCAAATCAATCAGATTAGCGTTGACTGTTGAGTAGGGGCCTTTCAGAACTTAAGCGTTATCACTGTAACTGTGATGCCTCCCGTGTTGCAGGCTCCGTGGTCTGCATTGCCGCCAGGTCATGTTGGCGGCCACTGTGCATTACACACGTAAATTTTATGACTTTCTCACATCATCACCTAATGAGGTTGAGATACCGCTGCAACTATCTAAGATAGTTTCCGATCTTAGGATTATCAATAAGCAATTTTTTGTTAGAACAGCCAAACTATTACACTTTAAAGGGGCGGTGCAGCGATATTTAATTGGAATGTTTTTCACTTCACACGAGCTTACTGGCACTAGTGGAACTCAACGATACTCGCTCGCAATGCCACTGGCCAAGAAACTCCTCTGTTACGGTGTAATTTCAAGGACAATAGCAAGCGTTTTAATTAAAGCTCTCCTTCGCAAAACTTGATGACGTAGCTGGGTGGTCGCAGTACCTCCCAGTGACGATATTTGAATGTGACTCATAGATTTGACCCGAGCATTGCTTGGGCACTCGATTTGGGCTCGTAAAAATCGATAGCTCGAGAAGCATTCGGGTAATGTCCTGTGTCCAATCGCTGCAACGACGAAAGTAGCCGAGCCATAACAATGTTTGGAACTCAGCGCGTGTCCTGTGCCTTGCCAACCCCAGCGCGTGGCTATGATCAAAATTGGCGGCATATAACCGGCTCCAGATCACGTGGCCGCTTGTTCTGGCTGCGAATTGAGGGGGCGTTGCCGTACTTCCGGTGTTAACAGCAGCACCTCTGTTGCGGACGCGGCGTGTTACCCTGGGATGACGGGCGGGAATCAGATGCCCGCAGGGCCGCTACCATGTCTGTGAGGTGCGAGATTTCCGCTCGGATCTTTTGCAGTTGATCAGGAGTAGCCGGTTCCGCTTGCACGGCTGAGACTGCAGAAGGGGGAACCGCCATTAGTCTATCGGCAAGCTCAGCCAGCCTTCAGAGGTTTGTTTCTCCGACGGAGGTGAGCACCATGCGCACGCTTATGGGGAGCCGAGAGTTCTCGCAGCATGATGCTGTCGAGACCCGCCGTCGTCGTGCCGAGCAGTTGCTGCATGTGACGCAGCAGCTGGCTCGGCGTCCGGTCCCCAAGTTCAGTGCGAGTACTGGGGGGCTATGTTGCGCTTTTTGCACTCCCAGGAGACTAGGGAGAGGGAAGTGACGTCAACGGCACAGCAAACGCAGATTGGGTGTTGATTTCGTTTTCTTCTGTCAACATCCAATCTGCATTTGCTGTGTCGTTGACGTCACTTCCCTCTTCCAAGTCTCCTGGGAGTGCAAAAAGCGCAACATAGCACCCCTGTCCTCACAGCCCATCCAAAGCTGTTACTACTGCAACAGACTCCAGTAGGACGAGGTAGTGGGATTCGAAAGTCTGTTGTGCAGATTTGTACCTAGCAATGTTTCCGGTATTTTTTATTTCTTTTGTATTTTATAATGGAAAACTCTTTTCTGTTAAGAGGATAACAAGCGTTGTAACCTCAGTATTGTTGCCAAACCTGCAGGTGCTATCATCGGTGCACTTTTAAATAAATATATGCCACAGCCACGGATCAGCAATGAGCACTTACCTTGGAACTTGGGTGTTTTGTAAGTATTCATTTTAATTGCGCGATAATGACATTCGTCTTCTATTAGAATGAAAAAAACGTAAACAATATTCGACATGATGAATAATTTTGGACACCCGCTGCATGCGTGATCTGAGCATTTCTTCTTTTCATGTGAAGTGTGTCTCTTGCTTGCTACCTGTAGGGTATGCGATGTTGAGGACGGAATAGATGCTGCGACCGACTCCGAGCAATCAAAACATTCTGTTTATTCTCACGTCGTTGAGCTCGTGGCAATGAGTATGAGAAGCATTGTCAGCTTTGGCGGTTCCGAGGCTGATCCAGTAGACTGCCACAGAGCCGTCGCCTGCAGCTCTGCAGACTGTGAGAAATGTCACGATTTTGTTGAAGTGATTGCGGGTTCAGACAGGTGTTGTTCCTGTTGACACGTACCGCAAGCAGGATGACGTACTAGAGAGCAGGAAAGAGCCTTCGGAAGCCGTGCATGGTAGTCGACGCCGAGGTCAAGCAATGAGGCCAGCAACACCTGACGCCATTTTACGAACGGCTCAGGCCGTTCGTAAAATGGCGTCAGGTGTTGCTGGCTTTACGCGGCGGTACCGTGCGTGCTTCCATTCATTCGGCGTTTGTTGCCATGGTTACGGCAAGGAAAGCGGACAAACTTTATGATGCGGAAGAGCACTGCGGCGCAGCGATACCACCTGCGTTCTAAAGCCATTCCCGCATGCTTTTCAATGGGCGGAAGGCGAACAAAAAGAGTTTGAAATAAGGACTTAACGCAGAAGGCTGCATTTCTCCAGCGTCTCATAATTTGACGAGCCTTCAACGAACAGCATGTTTTTTTTTGGCCATCCCGCTCCCTGTATTTTTTTTTTTTTATCCATAACATCGGTCTAAAGCAGGGTTGTAAAGTACCTCGGTACAAGTAACTGGAAATCGGTATCTAGGTACCTTTGTTGTACCTGAGGTACAAACCTAGGTTCTTTAATTTCTCGGTATCTGTATTTGTATCTTAGGTACATTTTCCAGTAACTTGTAACTAAGTGAAGTGGCGTTTTACAGGTACTTATCTTTTCACTTCGTCAAAATGGTAGAAACTATAAATCTTGAAGTATTAACCCACTACCATGTGCAGTGATTAACATTGAGTTGGGTACGGCATCGGAGGCACTGACTTGATCAAACGACGTTTTAGCGAACGAAGCCCCGGCTATGATGTTTCATCGAACGACACACTTTAGGGAATATACGTGTTCATTTGAGCGAACGGTGAATTAACGATGCCATTCTAGCGACACCAATTTTATTTAATCTCTTCGGAACTCCGTTTAGGAAAAATAGCAACCTGCTTCCTTCATCTCAAACTGAAATCGACTTCATTGCGTGTTTGAACTTCCTCTGACAGCTATACAAGGAAGGAGATAACTTGAACGATGTGCGCAGTTTCTGTTGCCCGTGTCTTGTCATGGTGGCCGGCACTGTTCTGCCATAAATACAATATAAAATATAATTACAGATAAATTACAATTACAATCGTAAAGCAATGTAACATAGTATATATAACACAGTTTCCACTCAATAAATCAGACTTAAATTTTGGAGTTATTAAAACTGAGAAAATTCTGAAAGAAGAAAAAAAAAGAAAAAAACTCTTTTTTGTACTGACTAACGAAAGAAAAAATAAAACGAAGAAGCTTGAAGCCTTTTGCTCTTCGTCGCGAAGTTTAGGTGCATATGCACTCGACTCATGCGTTTCTTCAT